GGGAGTGTAGTTTCCTGGCTATTGAATTTATTAGCTAAGACCACCACTTGGCTTAGTCAAAACTTGTGGGGGTTGATCGTAGCAATTGCAGGGCTGCTGTACGTTTTCGCTAAGAACTATTTAACCACCAAATCATGAGTAAACCAACCGAGACTCCACCCACTACAAGCGCTGTTTTTTCATCGATATGTTGTTGATTTTTAGCCTCAATATGCGGTGGTACTTGTGCGTTAGTAGATGTTTGAGCATTAGTAGATGGTTGTGAAACATGTGGTGTTTGCGGCTTGACTATTCCCTTTTCGCCCGTGATCGTTTGCGTTATTAATTCGACGTTAATATCTGAATTTATACCTGGTTTTTGTTGATCGGTAGCGATAACAATTTTATTATTATAGCCTATCACTTGACCGATCTTAAGTTCCATATTACTCGGAGACATGTATAGTCCCGGCGCATAAACGTAGTCCACTTTGGATTGAGCATACTGTAATGCATCTTGAAAACGCTTTATAGACGATGGTATGTCAACTGGTGAATTAATGGCGTCCTCCACGTTTGAGACAAACTGTTTTTGCGCATCGAACGCCGTCCCAGTACCGATAATGGATGTTCGTGTTTGCGATTGCGCTCCGAGAATTGCCCATACATAAGTTCTTATCGATTCATTAACTCTTTCAAATCCTGGGTTAGTAAAATTATTTTCCGTTTTATCATTAAGAAATTCATTCCAAGCATCTGTTGTATCGTTTGGATGCACAAACTTTGTTATAATATAAGGCAAGCCACTCTTAAAACTCATAATATCTTCCCTCCAATCATTATTAAAAAGTTGCCAGTTGTTATCCCAATTATGAGTTTTTAAGAAAATATTATGTAATCTTACATAAAGTTTGCTTCTATGCGACCACCTAAGTGTATCTACTGGTTTTTTTACCATTTCACTTTCTTCTTTAACAGTTTTTTGTCCATTGTACGGAATACCTAGACCATGGCTAGGTCCTTTAATGCGCCAATCTTTACTCGTAGAAACATTAAATTCATTACAAATACGTTCGAAGGACCTCTTATTATAATGATTATTTGCGTGATTCCATGCTGGATCCATCGGTAATGGAGCACTAATTTCTTTAAGTATACGTCTAATCTGATAGTACACGTGAAATAATATAACAGACTTATATAGTTTAAATCCTGGGGCATTAACAGATACGCCACATCCCGTTGTGGCACACCATATGGCAAAGTTTAACTGATTCTGCCAAAATTGCATCGGATTGTGAAACCAATCGTGCACCATTTTATCGCTAGTTGCCGTGACCCTGTACTTTTCAAAGATATCGGGGAATTTAACGAAAAATTCAGCACCAGAGGCAGTTACTATAATCGATTGATTAGTAATGTGAGTTGATTTCATATTTAAGTTATGATATAGTATCATTGTATATTTAATATGTATGTTACACTCCCGGGAATAACAAATGGTCAGTCTATTGAACTGCTTCATACAATCGATAACTCTGATGGACAACTCGAAGTAGCTCTATGCGACGTAACGTATTACCCACTGTGGACCAATATAAGTGCTGCGAGAAGAAATAATGAGTTGTCTATAACAGATAAACAAAATATTATTGAAAAAAACATTAATATACCTGATGGGTATTACAATATATGCTCACTCGATGATAAAAATTTTAAGCCTAATGGAATTAGTATCACACAAAATGAGTGGAATGGGATAGTGAAAATCGGCACTGGAGAAAAAGGTATATTGATTCATGAGAACTTAGCAATAACACTTGGATTTACACAGGTAGAAAGATCAAGAAACTTTATATTATCAATATACAGGACAACATCTGATGGAGATGCATTACCCGATTTAGTCCCCTATAAAGAGTTGTTCATCCATCTTGATCAAATAAGCAAGACGGATAATATTCAACTAGAAAGTCCTTCAACTCTACTCAGATGTGTTCCAGTGAAAAATGAAAAATATAATAGCGGTAGAACGGAATCTTTCTCGTCATTACAATATAAAAAATTAAAGCGGGGTATTATTTCAGACCTCAAAATTTCTGTATTAGATGTAAAACACCAACCTGTACATATAGGATACTTAAGTGTAACACTCCATATTAAAAATAATGGTTGATGCATCAGGCCCTGGAACAGTAAGACAATGTAATACAATTGCGCTTTCCGATCTCGGAGACACAGAAGGATTTGGTAAACCCGGTACCGATGGTAAGTTATACGCTTTACACTTACACGATAATGTATACAATCAGAAAGAAGTCACATTCACGGGTAATCTAGGAGATTTAAGCGATGTCGATGTTAGTAGACTCCTTAAAAACACTTCGTACAATATTACTCACAACGACGATAATAAATGGACTATGATCGAAGCAAACATCGAGTGGCTACTGAATATCGTCATTACCCCACCTTATGTGATGATGGGTAAGGGACATAATTTAACAAAGATAATAAATAGTGGCATCGTACTCGCGGCTTATATCCCATCAAAACGAAAAAGTGTGTTAGTTACCCCCCTGCCAGAAAACCCAGGTCATATGTTATATAGTCGTCCGGCCTTAAAAAATGTTACTTTAAATTTGGTTACTGAATTCGAAGATATTAAAGTTAACCTGAGTGCAATACCTAATCTTTCTACGCTTATTATTGAAGTCTTGTTCGGAGATGCACCGGAAGATGCCTTCGATATATTACCAGGTCTATCGATTAAATGGCTCAAGAAACACGAGCGTCAACGTTGCAGTATTATTCATATCGGAGCATCGCCCGTTGCAACCCTCGAGGGGGTCCAAATTATTAAAAGTGACAGTATTTCTCTTTCTAAGATATTCTTGCCGTATAATATACATTTGATAAGGTTGATGTATAGTCTCAAAACATTTAAGCAAGACCAATTAAAGACTATTATATGATCGTTATATACACTATGAGTTTATATCCGGCGCTCGGTGAAGCATTTGAAAAGATGGAAACTGTTGATGGATTTCGATTACATCAAATAAGCGACATAAAACATCGAACAGGGAAGGATAGGGAGCTGAGACTTGGATTGTATAAAAAGTATCGCAGAGCCGTGAATGCTCTGGACGGAGTTGACACCGTGCTTTTAGTATCTGGCATGGGACTCGGTGTAGCGGGTATCGGTTTACTATCAACTATAATCGTTGGCCTATCGTGCTCGGCATGGAAATAACCGCTGGAGTCTCGGGACTGGCAGGAATAGCGATAAAATTCATTTCTCGTAGGTTACAAAAGAAAGCATTAAAACACGATAGTATTCGGATACTGGCCGAAGCAAAGTTGAACAGCATTGAGGATCATATTTCGACAGCAATGGCCGATTGTAAGATATCCGATGATGAGTTTCGTTTAGTGCTTTCGGAGCTCACCAAATACAATGAAATGAAGCAGGAGATTCGATCAAAATCTCGTACGACCAGTGGTATTAGCGAAGACGAGAAGTTCATAGAACAGGGGAGGCAACAAGCGCGTCAATTATTCCGTGCCAAAACCAAAGAACTGGTTGGAGATTAAAAATAGATTGTTTACTATCGTGTGATTACATTTAGACAAATGCTAACATAAATATATAATAATGGAGAAAGCTATTCAATGGAAAGAATTACCACAAGGTTTTTATTATATCAGTGATGTCAAACCAACCAAATACGGTTATCAATTGTTTCTTATCAATTTACAAAAAGAGTGTAGTTATATAGTCTGGTCTCCTAGTAAAATGAACGAAGAACTTAATAAAAATGTTGAATATCGCTTTATCGATAAAAATAATAAAGAATATTTTTATTACCATTTAGACTCATCTAAAGCAATGATTGGCCCCAGGTATTGGTGAGCTAGAGCCAATCTCATGACTATCATTGAATCGCATCATCATTTTGGCATAAAAAATGCCACCTGTAGTAGCAGTATAGGTATATGAATCCGGCTCCAGTGGAAGTGGTCTAGAACCCCCATTACCTATAAAAATTTATATCATAGACTCCAGGTGGTGGTGAGCTGGAGTCAATTTAACTTAATCTTATGACTATCATTGAATCGCATCATCATTTACGCATAAAAAATTCCCTCTGTAGTAGCAGTATAGGTAATAAATCTGGCTCCAGTGGAAGTGGTCCAGAACCCCCATTACCTATACTACTTTCCCAAATTTCTGAAATTGGATCAAATTGTCTAAAGTCCCATTAATTGGTGATATTAGGATATTATTTTTCCTTCTTTTATATATCCGAGCCTAAATACACATCACCAGACAAAACAGCAACATCCGAGATTGAATTTTTAAATTTTGACTGAATTTTAAAAAGTGGACCAAATTGGCTCAAGTCCAATAATGAGATGATTTATAAAGGATATTATTTTTCTTTTTGCTACATGCCTTAAAATACACCATCAGGCTAAACTGCTCCATCCTAAAATGAAATTTCAGATTTTGACTTCATTTTACAGGTTTTTCTAAAGTACTTGCTATTATATTGTTAAATATTGAATGATAGAAACGTTTTTTAAACTGAATGACATTATATTTTTGTATTGTCACATCATTTATTTCATCAAAAAAAAAATTGAATCAATAAACGTTAGATCATTTTCAGCAGGTTGTGCTCAGTGATGATGAGTGGGGCTTGCAAAAAAAAGCTGCTTTTTGAAAAAATAATTATAACAGCGGTACTCGTCTCAAAGATAAGGGAGTACTTGTTGGGTCAGAAGGGATTTATTTTCAATGGGCGTAGAGTGAGAACTTCACGATAGTCCGGATCTGCCCTAAAACATACATAATTTGATATAAATATCATGGGTATGGACAGTATAAAGGCACAAGATAACAACAATAATAATAATACATTCAGATCTATAGTTACTTACTTTTGGCATATATATTTGAACAAATCCTTCCAGATAAAACAAAATACAGTCTATACATAGTTAATCATGCATACCTTGTCTCAGGGACGCAGGCTGGAACCTCCTTTATTGATGTACAGTGAATAGCCCTGCACAAATGAGTATACTACATATAGATATATTACATATCCTCCGTTACACTAGTGTGTATGAAATACAAGCAAAATAAATTCTACAAAAGACTATACATATATACATGATACATATACATGTATCACTTCTAACCAGTTTATATCTATTTTATAAAATGTACACTTGGCTATTACCTCAGTCAAATACAAAGTTAGGGTAAAAGGTAAAATAAATTCCTACGTGCACAAAATAAGTCAACAGCACAATATGTCTACTGAACAGTAAACAGTCACATGTCTAATGTCACACAAAAACATTGTTATTAACTCTGAACAGACAAGCTATGTTAGATCTACGTAGCTGAGGAAAATGACAATAGGACATTTCTTGGAAAATCTCTGATGTTTAGAATTTTCAATAGGACATTCCCATAGACTGCTGTATAATTTCTACAAAATCAATGGGACATATGTGACAATGGGTAGGCAAATATCCTAAATACTGGACGATCTGTATCACTGGTAACGTTACTTGAAGGCTTGTTGCAAGCGAGATTTCGTACAGTTCGAACATCGTGACACTGAAAGGGCCTTGATCTAATCAGTGTGTGAGGACGCCTGGCGTGCTAAATAAGAAACAGACCTTTACTATCTGGTCATAAGTTTACAACATTCACAGGCTTCGTAGGACAGGTTAAAATCAAACAATGCGCTATTGAAAAAGCATAAACAAATATAGATCTACCTTATGCCAGACGGCTCCTTCGCATTATCAAGGGAGGTAACTCTTAATACGTTTTGCTGCCCACTATCAATGTTCTCTTTGCGACACATGAATGGTTTCATAGCTGGGTAATACTTTAGAATGTTGGAACATCATTGGCCCAACATTGTTGTATGTTTGTAAGAGTCTGATATCGCAAATAAAATTTATTCTACAATATTAACACGTAATTTCCATTTTTTTTCTTTGTTCGTCGAAAAACTTCTCACAGATTTGTATCAACTGGTAAAGTGGCCCGCAGAAAGTGGGTTGAAATAAAATTGTGGATCGGTTAGTCAAAATGGGCCTAGGACGTTTGTAGCGACCAGAACTGGGATACGACCAGAACTGGGATAAACACCGTAGAGAATTATATCTCTGGCATGCAACTATGTGTTTAATTGACAAACATTTAATAAGAGCAAAATCATCTGCACTTCTTGTGTTTTGTATTTTTACTCCGTTCTGCAAAGTGCGCCAATGGCAATGCTACTGACTCGATGTCCGACATTTGCAGCTAAATATAGCAGCGTATAAAAGTGGTAATGCGAAACTAAAGCGGAATACAATTTCTTCTTTTTATGCATATCGCTCATGACAAAATGCAATTCCTATAAAAATGGTCGTGTTGCTTATTATCTGTAATTACTGCCCATTGCCATGTTTAATTTCTAACCATGATATCACTCCCAAATGTATTATGTAATTGTCTATCATATCATAACCTTTGTGAAGTGGTGACATGTTTAATAACAGAGTCAATTTTCTGTTAAATAGCTATCTTGGCCACTTCTGAACACAGTGTTTCCTATAAAATAGCAAAAGCCAAATGAAAATAAAATTATTCTCTAATTTATGTATTTTAAAGTTGTTATGCCACTCATTGGTGGGGATACAAGCGTAATAATTCAAGTTCCTAGGATGTTTGTGTTATGCAATTTTGCAAGAGTTATGAGAGTTGGACATATTTCTTCTCATACACAGTAAAACAATAGGTAAATGTCTAGGAATAAATACTCATGACATTGTACAATAGGCCATGATGTTCACAAAATATATGTGGGAGGGTATGTACATCAATATAATAATATTAATTATTTTTAATATAACTAAGTGTGTCATTTAACATCAAACAATGAATACTCAACATATCAGAGTTGAAAGGGGTACATTTAAATTTGTACTGTTCAAGGGATCTCTAAGCCCCAACACCTCACAGCCCTCTGGCAACTGATGTGTGTATTTTTGTTTGTATTCTCAAGTCCCAAAGTCATTTTTTGTAAATATTACCATCATTATCATGTTAGATTTTAGTGGTAACAATTATTCAAAATCACTCCATTTGATTATTGTGTACATGATGATAAAAGCAACTATTTTCTTATATTAATGGAGGAGGTACATGTAACTGCTTCCAGGCATAGCAGATGCAGGATGTGAGAAAGTTTGTGCTTCGTCTTAGAAGTCTAAATTAAAAAATAAAAGAAACTAATTACATATAGAAATATTAGAGTAGAAATTGTTGAAAAAGATTTCTCTTGTTAAAAAAAGATTTCTTTAATGTTCCTTTGATTCACCCACCACCCTATTCTTTTTCTCATTGTTTTAAAGGAAAAAATACATATGTAATACCCGGTATGACAAAATCTCCTTCCTGGTCAGTATTAAAATAACTGGGAAACTCATTGAACCATTCCTGGTAGCTTATTGACATAAAAACGTTGAAGCTTTCATAACCGTTTTGCCAGCAAAATGTCCTCATATTTCTGGGGAGACCATATGGAATCTAAATGATATTATTTAATATGATTGAAATATTTAGAAAGGTTTCAAAATAACCAACTTAAGACAGATAACATATATTTAATAAACCCATTACTAATAGAGAACTGAACTTGTTATCTCATGCTCTGGCATCATTGACATTAAAATTTGCAAGACAAAGCAACAGTAAGAGTTATCCTCCCTTTACAACTTGATCAAAATGGTCGTCTGGTCCTTGCTGTTGAAGGCCAAGTGGCTGAAGTTTCTAAGATAATATTTCTTTGAAAGACGAGAATGTGTAGGTAAGTCATTATACCTTTACTTTTTACCTTTTTTCTGTGGTTTCTATCAAGGCAGGTACAGACCTAGCACAATGTCATACATTGTGCAGTCAGTCCCTCCATGATGATCAGTTAGCCTATTACAGCTGTGAAGGGGACGAAGCTTTTTTTAAAACTATGTAGTTTCATATGCACAGCTTATTGTCAAAGTACATGTTTCTCAAAGGTTGTAAATGTGAATGACAATGTTCAGAAAACAAAACTCTCAAGATTCCTTTCATTCTTGAAAGTATAACATTTATGCCACTTCTGGTTGAGGGGATGTGAGTAATAATATAGTCAACAATCTCTTAACATTAGCAATATTGACCCATAGCATTCAGATTCTCCTCACAAGTTTGAAATGTTATTTACTATCATCAGCCAAGAAGAAATCTTAAGATTTCATTAATAGTAGATTTTAAAGGTGTTATCCCATTTCTGGTCAAGGTTATCATGGTTATATGAATAATAATATAGTAAAAAAAATCTTTTAAAATTAGAAATCTTGACTCAAAGTGTTGAGGCTTTGCTCACAGGTTTGAAATGTTATTAAGATTTCATTAATTGTAGATTTTAAAGGTGTTATCCCACTTCTGGTCAAGGTTATATGAATAATAATAATATAGTAAAAAAATCTCTTAAAATTAGAAATCTTGACTCAAAGTGTTGAGGCTTTACTCAGGTTTGAAATGTCATTTACTATCATCAGCCAAGAAGAAATCTTAAGATTTCATTAATTGTAGATTTTAAAGGTGTTATCCCATTTCTGGTCAAGGGCAGATGAGTGATGATATAGTAAAAAATCTCTTAAAATTAGAGGGGGCACAGGTGGCCGTGTCGTCTAAGGCGCTGCGATTCACTGTGCAGAGTTGCGTCCCTTGGATCCGCCAGCAACCTATGATGGTTGGTTCAAATCCGGGTTCACCCCAATAATGCTTCTAGGTTTGTCAGCACCATCACTTCGGGCTTTCCTCCCACATTAAGCTGACACACCGTGATATAACTGGAATAATGTTAAAAGCGGTGTTAAACCCAACTCACTTAAAAATTAGAAATATTGACCCATTGCATTCAGATTCTGCTCACAAGCTAGAAATGTGCTTTGCTATCAGCAGCCAAGAGAAAATCTTAAGATTCCATTAATTGTAGATTTTAAAGGCGTTATCCCATTTCTGGTCAAGGTTATATGAATAATAATATGGTAGAAAATCTCTTAGAATTAGAAATATTGACCCACTGCATTCAGATTCTGCTCACAAGTTTCAAATGTTATTTACTCTCAGTAGTTATGAAGAAATCTTCAGATTCCGTTAACTGAAGATTTTATAGGTGTTATCTCATTTCTGGTCTAGGGGATATGAGTAATAAAATAGCAAAAAATCTTTTAAAATTAAAAATATTGGTCAATGGCATTCAGATTCTGCTCACAAGTTAGAAATGTGATTTACCATCAGTAGCCAAAAGAAAATCTTAAGATTACCTTAATTGTAGAGTTTAAAGGTGTTATCCCATTTCTGGTCAAGGCAAGGTAAGTAAGGATATAGTCAAAAATCTCTTAAAATTAGAAATATTGACCCAAAGCACTCAAATTCTGCTCACAAGTTTGAAATATTATTTACTATCACCAACTGAGAAGAAATCTTAAGATTCTATTATTTGTCGAGTTTGGTCAAGGTTATATGAATGATAATATAAATTTTAGTAAAAAAATCTCTTAAAATTAAAAATCTTGACTCATAGCCTTCAGGCTTTGCTCACAGGTTTGAAATGTGATTTACTATCATCAGCAAAGAAGAAATCTTAAGATTCCATTAAGTGTAGATTTTATAGGTGTTATCCCATTTCTGGTCAAGGTGATATGAGTATTAATATAGTAGAAAATCTCTTAAAATTAGAAATATTGGCCTATTACATTAAGATTCAGTCCACAAGTGTGAAATATTATTTACTATCATCAACCGAGAAGAAATCTTTAGATTCCATTAATTGTAGATTTTAAAGGCATTATCCCACTTCTGGTCAAGGTGATATGAGTCATTATATAGTCAAAAATCTCTTAAAATTAGAAATACTGACCCATTACATTTAGACCTTTGTTCATAGATTTGAAATGTTATTTACTATCATCAACCGAGAAGAAATCTTAAAGGGGAAGTGTACACGCAAAAATCACTTTCTTTCTTTTTCTAAACAAAACGCAATTTTAGAATTAATTAGTATCTGTGTTTGAAAATATACACTAATTTTTTTTCACAGTGAAAGTAGGAAGCTCACAATAGTGTTAAAATGATATGCCGTTATGAGGCCTTCGTTTGACGAGCGAAATAGGCCTGAGTTATCCCCCTTAGATTATGACGTAATTGGTGCCAATTCAACTGTGTCCCTGTCTATTCTCAACGCAAAAGATATCAAGGACCAGTTTGCGGTCAAACAACATGGTCTACGACACACTCCGGCGCAGTAGTGACTCAGCATAACACAATTCTGGCTGGCATCTGAGACGCTAGAATCACAAAACTGTACCTACACCACGTGAAACGGCTCTAACAAAGCATGATGACGTCATAATGTTTATCAATTGGCACCAATGACGTCATATTGCAAGGGGCATAAGCCATGGTGTTTTTGTTAGGGAAATAGAACACTTGGTTAATGTGAAAAATATAAATCGTTTTAATGCAAAATATATGTTAATTAAATATGATGTTTTTATATTTTTGTCTATGACACTTCTATGTTAACACTTTTAATGTGAAAAAAAGTACAAGAAAATTGGTTCATTTCCGTGTGAACTTGCCCTTTAAGATTCCATTAATTGTATATTTTAAAGGCATTATCCCACTTCTGGTCAAGGTGATATGAGTCATAAAATAGTCAAAAATCTCTTAAAATTAGAAACACTGACCCATTACATTAAGATTCTGTCCACAAGTGTGAAATATTATTTACTATCATCAACCGAGAAGAAATCTTAAGATTCCATTAATTGTAGATTTTAAAGGCATTATCCCACTTCTGGTCAAGGTGATATGAGTCATAATATAGTCAAAAATCTCTTAAAATTAGAAATATTGACCCATTACATTCAGATTCTGTCCACAAGTGCGAAA